AATTTGCTTAAGGTTAGGAAATCATGAAAAGGCTACTATTAAGACCACCATAACGTTCTCCCAGAAGTCACATGAACAGCACATCACTGGCAACTCACAGTTTAAGAAATCAAGACCAATTAGGTCCAATTTTCCCGGTGGCGTAGGTGATTTTGGAACAAGTCAGTAAAAGCAGTGGCACCGACACGTAAACTCATATACTACCCACCCACTATGACGTGGAGTACTGAGTTCCGTAATGGGAGAGGGGATAAGTTGAACGGGCCTGAAACACTGCCGTCCGTTAGCGCATCAGTCTTCTGTCATTAAGTTTCTTCAATAGGGTGAATTTCATCCTGACTTATAGAGGCCAGGTCAAAGCCTATGTGAATAAGGCGTTTAGGATGAGCCTGTCCCAGCAAGATGTTTTGTTCATTTAAATTGTTTATATATGTTCATTTTCGTGTGCACTGGAGAGAGCAGCTGTAACTTGTACCAATGATGCTGTAAGTTTCAAATTAAAGCACGGTTGTCAAGCGAAATCACACTCTAGACCTGTCCTTACGTTAACTTTGGCGCTGTAATAAAAGGCGTTCAACCAACTGTTTTTCGACCGCAATTTGTTCTTCAGGCCTAATGCCTCGGGTAGAATGTGCGCCAATTGCGACGTGGTACGCACTTGGGCTTCAATCCGAATTCGCTACCAACAGTTAGCTTGGTATACAGTTGTCTGACAAGGTACGGCTATCGCGATGTAAAACTATTTCACCTTATGACGTTTTTTTTCGAAGGCTCAACAAAGAAGCACATGAAACATCTCAACCGACGCTGATTATTCATGTAGGACAGGATTAGCCACACACACAGATTTGAAGCAGTCTATCGATTTGTTCGATTTGTTTAGAATACAATACCCTTCTCGGGACTGGCCAACATCAACAACATCTCCTGGAAATGTACAGACCCTGAGCCAGAGTTTTTCACCATCTTCTCAGGTAGAAACCAAATATTAAGAAGGAACATAATCCTAGGAAGCAGTCCCTTTGGTCCGAACTAGTGTACATTGAAAAGGCTAGAAAATCATTCACGGAATAAATAAGTGAATTATTCAGAGCGCTTTTACAGCACGCTGTACCTTCATCAGTTCTGATTTTTAGGGTAGGGTAACCTGGAAAAATGGTTTGGTTAATCGGTAAATTTTACGCAGCTTGTTTCAGTATTGGATACACAGACAGCTTTTCATATTTCTCTAGAGTTAGATACGAAATTCATATCGATATATTTTCCAGGCATCCGTACTTACTACGCAGCTTAGTCTTGAAGACAGGTACAACTTTCACACCCGTCTCACAGTACTGATTAGGATGACGTTCCAGCAGGGTGTGATTACACATGTATTGTAATACATAATTGACTAGTTGAAAGCATACGACGGTACGTGATGGCCAGCATACTTAGTTATGTCTGGATACTCGAAAAAAATTACCTGCATCTGATTTGTCGAAAAGTAGCAGAGCACATAAAACGCCAACCAGCAGTTGAAATATCAAATGTAATTGAGTCGTGTTGTTAAAAATTATGCGTCAGCAAGGTTCGTGGTGACAAGAAGGCATACTGCTTCACCGGCTGTCAAATAATATCAGCAAACTTTGCATGAAACAAACCCAGTCTTACTGATCCCATCGTAAAGTTAAGAAGGAAAACCGTAGACCACTTCCAGCCCAATTACTGGAAGACATCAACTTATCGCGCGATAGCACCAGTCAAAATGCGAATGAGACACGCGGGGAAAGTCGCGTTGTTTGAGACCTAGGAACACAGGCTGTATCCCTCGCATGAACACCCATATAATGGATGCATTCATGATACGATTGTACGGTGACAGAAAAAGGCGACCGAGTCCTCAAATTGATTTTAGTATGGCTTAATCCAGGAACTGAACTCGTTAGGGATATAGCTACTTGTGAATAGTCAGGTAATTATCCCAAATTTGCACAATCCCCAAGTGTCGAACATAAACGCAATTCTCCTGAATTATTACCTCTGAACTAAACGAATCCAAAGGCAGTGTTTTTCACACACCGGAGTACGTTGATGTCCAAGCTATTTTCCGTCTAGGTGACCTCATACATATCTCTGATTTACTTTTTACTAGTCATATATCGATCCATAACATCCCGGAGTTCAATATGTGCCATTAATATCGGTTGAACTAAAACACTGATCGCATTCAAGCCATATCTCGGAGTAGATTTTAAAGAGTTCCAGAACAGAGGTACTGATTGTATCAAGGAGAAACGGGAATGTTGTAAAAGCTCGAGATAGCTCAGCGGTTGAGGCCCGAATCTACTAACCGGAATTTCCATGGTCTGAACGAAATCTCGGATTTCCTGAAGCACCTATCCAGGCCTAGGAAATCTGAAATCTTAGCATACACCCAGATGTGTCAAAGTTGAACGGATCAGGGAAGTATAAGGCTTCGAAGGAATGGGAGACCGAGTGGATGCGATTGTGAACTGACATGAATGAAGCTCTACATGATGCATTTAGATCGGCTACTGTCTTCCGTTCTGATAGACAGTGGACAAGTTCTCCGAAAAAACAGGCGTAGGAAAAATGAACCAACATGAGAACTGTTGTCTTCCTAGGACATACGGACCCACTTGCCATTCACAAGGACGAACGTTAATGGGCTTATTCATGTGCTCACATGGTTAAACGAGCCATCGGAGTATACTTGCCAATAAATCTGTTAGAAAACTACGAATAAATGGCTGAGTCACAGTCGACTAATGTATTTGCTTGGGAGAGTTTGCGATGTGAAATTTGCTTGCGTGTAGTCGGAACTTATCCACTTTATTGGTTGCTTTCATAAACTGGCCTGGAGATGCACCGTGACATCCATCCTGACGTGTTTTTCTCACCAATTTTGGACATGACTGTTCGCTATTTGCTGCGATTCACAACGACTCGAGCGACCTCGGTTAAGCAGTTTGGTGCGTGCCGTACTTCTTCTCGAGACAGACCAGTCGTTGATGCTGAGTCCGATAACATACCACTCATGATGGATCAAGACATGCATTCCCCCCACAGCTTTTTATACGGTTTCCCGCCCACGAAGGTGGAGGGACCAGTCTTGACGGAGGCTACTACGTAATGTGACCACCTAAACCTAGACTGATTCTTTCTCCAAAGTGATCTCTCTTGAGAGGGGAAGTATCGTGTCTCTTAGAGTCAACAACAGTCTACAGGACGGGCAGAAATTACCATTCGCATATAAACCTGAAGATATGCGCCAAATCCCGTGAGGACGTTTAATGAGTTAACAAGATAGCTGTCTAACGAGAAATCGACAATGATCACATTAGCAACCAATATATTCCAAAGATATGCAAATCTTTCAGGTAGATCGGCATGAAAACCTGAGCCTACATGCTTAGTCCGCGTTTTTGCTGGGAACCGATATGACCCTGAAACAAGAGGCAGCCACAAGCAGCAATGATAATTGTTCCGGTGAATGCTGTGAAAAGCATCTAGGGTCGTTTGCTTGGTTGTAACGGCACGACAGTGCAGTCTAAGAACAGTACTGGATCGGTACGAATTTTCGGTTGTGTGTGGACTTGGATACTACCGCGGTATCCTGGAGGACGCGTAGGTTCTTCAAACAAAACTCTGACCACAAGTTAGCGATGTTCGGTACAGGGCTACCAGTGTTTCAATCTTTATGGAACAAGTTGCCATAAACAGTCCACGCAACGACCGGAAAATCAGGCCCGTATACATTAATCAAAGTGTCACGAGACGAGTGCTATGTAGGACAGGCCCCATCATGATTCAGACGGTTACGGAAAGCGTAAAAAGTAGCAATCGAGCTTCTGAACTAAGCCACCACATGCAGTGAACCAATAAATAGCCTGAATTCACGATATTAATAAACAAACGCAGTCTGAAAGGCGTAGTGCCTGAAGAGAAACCATGGGTGTGTCGACACAGTAAATAGTGCCAAATTTAGAGCTGAACAAACAGGTCTGTGGTTAGAGAAGTAAAGTTATTTCAATAAATTCTGAATACAGCTAAAAGATTGTGTAATCCGACTAAGGAAAACCAATTTCGCTCGGTTAAAGTGGACTACTGTTCGGCTGAAAAAAATCTTCGGCGTTCTTTTAACATGTGCTTCTCACTCTACGAAAGTAGATTGGTTAGCGATGTTCGGTATAGGGCTACCAGTGTTTCAATCTTTATGGAACAAGTTGCCATAAACAGTCCACGCAACGACCGGAAAATCAGGCCCGTATACATTAATCAAAGTGTCACGAGACGAGTGCTATGTAGGACAGGCCCCATCATGATTCAGACGGTTACGGAAAGCGTAAAAAGTAGCAATCGAGCTTCTGAACTAAGCCACCACATGCAGTGAACCAATAAATAGCCTGAATTCACGATATTAATAAACAAACGCAGTCTGAAAGGCGTAGTGCCTGAAGAGAAACCATGGGTGTGTCGACACAGTAAATAGTGCCAAATTTAGAGCTGAACAAACAGGTCTGTGGTTAGAGAAGTAAAGTTATTTCAATAAATTCTGAATACAGCTAAAAGATTGTGTAATCCGACTAAGGAAAACCAATTTCGCTCGGTTAAAGTGGACTACTGTTCGGCTGAAAAAAATCTTCGGCGTTCTTTTAACATGTGCTTCTCACTCTACGAAAGTAGATTGGTTAGGAATTAGGTATAACGAACAACTGTGCGGCGTTTGAGCCTCTTGATTAACATGAACATCAATGCCCACCAAACTGAGAACCAGGAACGACTCTGCGCAAAACCTTGCCGAAAGTGAGATGAAGATCATTTCAAAAACGCCTTTCCACCCGGTAAGTGACCTGTTTGAGCTATTATACTCTTTGGTGGTCGTGTCGAATGATGGCAAGGATAGCGCAGAATGAGTTTGCCCGTGGACGTCAAACACACTAGCGAAATATTACGCCTCTAAACAACGTACTACCTATATTTCAATTACTCTATTCTCTGACTGATGGAAACACGTACGAAAAGTTGTCACCGAAAGGGACTCATGAAAAGAGAAAAACTCGTCAATTGTACAAGCTTCATTGATGCCAATTTGCATGATGACCTCGATGGAAGCTTGATAAATTTTGTCCCAAGGCCCTCACAGGGTCAGTAAAAGCTGGTAAATTAAGCGAGGAAGTGGCCGCTGTCAAAGCAGCAAGCATCGCAGGTGTCACTTTGCCGGTGTTCAACAAGCTGGAAACCAATGGGGCGTTGACCACAGACGGACGCAGCACTGATGACCCAAGTGTACCGGCACCAAATAGTTGTGTCTGACTGGCTGCTGCAAGTGCCATGGTCAGACTGTTTGTAGCAGCTGGAGGCCACAGTGAAGATAGGAGGCTTGCTTGTTGATTTGATGCGTTGGGTTGGACATCGATGGTGATATTGCGCGATGGTATTGTATTGAGGCAGGTACTTGTAGCTGTCAGAGCCGACCGGTCCCGCGTACCTGAGGTAAAAGAGTGAGAGACAGGCTGAGTGCCTGAAGACAACGAAATGAATACGGCATATGGCAGTCTCTCCATGAACCAGTGTTCCCGTTTAATCCTATATTCTCGAGCTCAGAAGATGTTAGCCAAACAAGGAAAGGATGTCTTTCTGGGTACCCTGAGTTGCCTGAAAGAAAAAATTAGTCGCTAGAACACTGTTACTTTCCACTTTCAGTCCCAATACACAACTTCCGGAACCGATGAATTACCCGACGTGATCGGACACAAGATTGAGGAGTTCACGTTGCAGTGCTTAACGTTTTGCCGGGTAGATTTCACCTGATGGGGCTTATGATCCAAGAAAGCGGGCTACAAAGCAGGGTGTGGTGGAATTTATTTTCGTTATCACATAGCAATTTACAATCTTGTTAAAAAAAATAGTGGCACTCGTGGCTGATGTTACTGCCGGGTCAAGCTGTGAAAAGGTCCGGGACGTACCGATCGATCAGCCCGACATAACCAAAGCAATGCACCAAAAACGTCCATTACTACTAGGAAAGCATTTTCAGTGTAAAACGACAGCAAAACATCCAGGTTCGAACAAAAGTACCCAACAAGGAACTTATTTAGTTCCTATTCACGGTACATTGAGTAGTTTAGCCCAAAGAACACGGGTTTCTGGCTATGATACAACTCAGAGTGAGGAAAAGCACATGGAATCATGTGATCAGTATTGTAGCGTAGGTCTGACGTGAGTGCGAAAGTCAAGAATGACGGCATAATGCTGGGGACCAATTACAGATACCAAGTGTGCAGTTTCACTTGTACTGAAAAGTACAGCTGTCGTTACAACGACGGTGTAGCGCAGTTGAAAAGAACATGCGCATAAACTCCAGCAACAACGCGGCGTCTTTTGATGAGCACGTCGACACGACTGAAACTTATAATAGCGGCCTTTGATTCGTTCGCTGGGCTGGGCTGGGCTAGGCTAGTCGACTCAATTGCAAACGTCTCACAATCAATCGGATGACATCATCAGCGTGTCGTTGCTCAGTGGGGTATAAGTCACCCACTAGCTAAGTGGGACAACCAAGAGCGAGGTGAATAAGTTTAACTTGTTTCTCAACGTTAATCAAATGCAACAATGTGAATGTTTTTATTGTTTTGTGAAGCGTTTCTCATAATTTGGGTCGCGTTAGCAAGAGTGTACATCTTAGGATTTTGAGGCATTATCCGTCATCATAACTGTATATTTTAATCGCAGATGGTGAAAATCCAATCACTTGGCGCTTGGCAAAACTACCCGTTCATTCTCGACTAAAAACCCATGCGCTACGCATGGACGGAGTAGTAAGCAGAGTGGGCAATAAGGTGGCGGTTCAAAGCACGAACACATGATTTAGTTACCAGCGCAAGTGTTTTCGGCGGTTGTTAATTTAGCGCAAAATGCAAGGCCTAGGACGTGGTCGTTAACACACAGGACAAAGTACTTCACAGTGGTAGAAGCATAGGTGGACGAATGTATAACACAGTGGTGTTGATCGAAGGTTAATACCCCTTCACCTCTTGCTACGGTCCGCGGCAACAATTTGACAAAAGCTCGGTTGGGAGGTGAATGTGCGCAAAAACGTTTGCTACACGAGAAATATGCAAACGTCGATTGAATGCTGAGAACCACACAATGGTGGTTTGTTACGAGTAAATCACGGTGATTGCGTTGTTTAGGTGCCCGAAGGCGCGACATCAACTGGACTAGATGAGAAATAGATAACGCTAGTTTGAAGCGATGACGCCGGAGCCTTTAAATGTTTGGCGACAGCTGTCAACACTTATCAATCTGGATGTTTTTTACCATTCAACATTCAACTACACTAACCGATTTAGCATCACCACGTTGACGCGTGGGTTCATGCAAAATGTTTATATACTGTCAATTGAGGTGCTGGTATTTGACAGGACTCCGGCGCCCAGCTTTGAAAACTTCTGGCAAGAAATTAGTGAGAAAATTCCGGTCCTGTGTATTTTGCCATTAGAATTAAGATCTGCCATGAAAAAACGATGACATGCGTCACGTCCTCACCAGAAGAATGTACAAGAACGTAGTTGCTATACAAGATTTCTCGTTGAAAAGCTGCCTATAACATCATCTCTGTGAGGAATTTTCGCTCGTACGAGCTGACAGAGATCCAACAGCTAAGAGTGAAAGTGATGTAACCACCAACGTGAATGCAGAATGCAAATCAGCTTCCCATAAGATATTTTGCACATGCATTGTCTCACCATTACATGCAATCTGAAATTCATCAGTCACTACAGATCCGTCCTTATGTTAAATGTTCACCTTCCATAGGCAGACCTCAAGGAGTTACCTGATGTCTTGGAACACTGGTCTTCCGTGGAAACTTCGTGTTTCGGTTTTGTCTGCGTTGACTTCAACCAGCAATGCCGACCGGGTTTTTGTGAACAATCCACCTGGATATACTTGCCAACTCGGGATGTTGCTTTATGATAATTCCCGTGAGGTATACTCAAATGACAACAGCCGACGCATGAGAACCCAAAATATGCATCATTCGAAGACAAAATAAAAGCTATGATAACTTGAACTTCCTCCTGCTGACACTCGAGTTCGCAGGCCTTGCATTGCTTGACGATGATGACGTACTAACAGGTTGCGACATTCTTTCAAGCCATCTAGAGTTCTGCCACGATTTGTGCTGTTCCATGGACACTACGTTTATCAGCTTACGTTGTTTTACTACGGCTACAATGAAGAAAATCTGATGACACTAGGATAGAGAATAAAAGTATGGGACCAGAAAAAGACAGGGCCTTATACTATCCTTACTGAAACCCAGAATTCTAGACTGAATAACCTTTACACCGATTTTATCCCGCAGCCAAACGTAAAGCATCTCAAGGACAGTGACGACTGTCTTGTGCCAAGAAACACTGAAAACGTTCTTTGGCCACATCGATCAACTGGGTTGCCCATTGTTCAACAAAGAGAGTATGTTGTAAGTCATAAGTTAGTGCACTTATTCCTCGCTGTCCGTTGCAAGCGCGTTCAAAGAGACCGAAGTAGCCAGAGGCGAAAAAGATAGTTTTCCCCTAATGTGTACTTGTTTGGAGTAATCTCGAACTATTGTGCCTTCCCAATGACGCACTGTGCTGCAACAACGCACCGATGATGCCAATTAGCTTGGTTATGGAAAGTATGCGACCCAAACGCTCGGGTCACCAAACGAACCAAAGTCCACCGATTAGTCACCTGCTCTGCTCTTTCCGGTATATTAGTCATTCGTACACGCAAGTGAGAACCGACTTTACTACATAAGACGCCCAGCATAGTGAAAAGGGGCAATCCATGTGGGTGTCGAAAAAAGTATCACTGATAAAAAGTACTAAAGAGGTGAAACCAGCTGCTTGGATGATGCCCCAGTATTACGGAAACGAGTGAACTGAACTCACAATATCTCCTTTATTTCTGCGTTAACGGGCCAACACGAGTACCTTATTCCAAACGAAGTCAGATATCATGCAAAAATGCAGCAATTTAAACTTCACTCCCAAAAAATGTGTTCAACTCAGTTCAGCTGGTCGGCTACATATTATGCACTAGGAGTATATTGGTTCGGTCACCGAAAAAACGCCAGGTCAGGGAAATATTATCAAGCATTGGGAAAGGTGACCCAGTCAGACAGTTGACTTCGAACCATTCCAGTTATCTAATGCAGTTACCGAAGATACTGTATCGTCAAAGCCTGCGTGACTAAGCTGTCCGTTTTCTTGAGGATTTATGAGACGGGTCCCGGAAAAGCGGCAGCTGACAAACTGGACGAGTTTACTGGTTAGTGCCAGATCGCAGAGCGTTCTGTCTTCGGTTAGTTCCACTCAACACGAGAACCAGCAAATAGTTCAGCGGGGTAGAGGGTCCTCTTGACCAGGGAAACCAACGTAGCGTGATTAGTTCGTTCGTTGCGGAGAAGTCCTTTTCTCCTATAACCATCTCGTTTAGCCACTGACCAGACACTGATACGTTATACTCTACAGAGTTGTCCATATGAAAAATTCGAGAGAGCTCAGTGGTCCGTGGTTTGAACTTACCAGCGGCATCTCGACTGCTACTGTCCAGGCTTGAGTAGCCTAGCAGTACCTAAGCTCTCTTGCTTCCTTCGGGTAGCATGGCAAGTAGGCACAGAAAGCGTGTTACATTTGAATGACTACTACTGTTCAAATAACTACCTGACTGTACACAAAAGCGCATCGAGCACCTTGAACAACGGAAGTATTTCGAAGGCCTGCGAATCAGATAAGATTCTTATGAGCAGACGAATCCCCTGGAATGGGGTAATCACTGGTGAGGTGAGGAATTCACAGGGGAAAAAAATTGAAAAATCGTTCAGCGGTAACACGTTTTCGGCGCCTAGCTGCCATGCCACCAGAAGGAAGCGAGAAGGTTGAAAGACTGCCAGATTGCCCAAGCCTAGACAGGGGAAGTCGAGGAAAAGAGGTTGGGTTCGAACTACTGACCTTCCGGTCAGTAAATCCACGCTCTAACCACTGAACCGTCTCGCCCCCAGGAACTCACAGGCCACGTAGCAATAATATCCTGTTTCGAGATGTCCGTAATATAGGTACAGGATACTATAGAATTAACGGGAAAATGGAAATCTGAACAAACGAGTGAGAAAAACAGCGGTCAACGAATTTCAAATGAAGTCATCTCAGTACTGATGAGAGAAAGAACACACCAGGACCCGTGGACTAAGACATACGTCACACCGCTTAAGAACGGTTTGGTAAATAAGTTTCCTTCATGAGATACCTTCGAAGTGGTCAGGCACCTGGATAAATGATGCGCAGAGTATGTAGAAGCAATATTCTCAGTATACCAGTTAAGCAAAGGAGTCGTAACTTCGACCGGTTGGACACAGGTCGCTTACCGATGGTAACAAAAAGTAGTAGTCACAAGACGAGATGCATGAACCTAAATGAAGTAGGTGAATCAGATAGACAACCTGAGAGAAAACCTGAGGTTACCTAGAACAAACAATCCTCTTTCAAGACAGCTATGATTCTTCATGAACGCATTCGGACCCAGCAAAATTTATTATCATTATTATCGTCCAGCTGTAACGCCCAAGTTGCCAAAGCCACCGGAGGGAAGCATGAGGATTGGGACAATGCCAGGTTGTCCAAGCCTAGACAGGATATTCAACAAAAACAATTGAGAAAAGCACAATCGGACATGATAAAACGAGCTCCTCGGCCTAGATAACATACTGAATGTCGAGCAAAGCCACCGGAAGCATGAGGATTGGGACAATGCCAGGTTGTCCAAGCCTAGACAGGATATTCAACAAAAACAATTGAGAAAAGCACAATCGGACATGATAAAACGAGCTCCTCGGCCTAGATAACATACTGAATGTCGAGCGTGAGGATCCAGGAAAACCGTCAATCGGCATGGGAGAAGGTAGCCCAAGTAACGACGGTTGCAAGCCGCCCGAACCGTGAAGTTTCAATGAGCCACCGAGACCTAACCGGCGTCCAGCGTAGCCTGAAAATACATATAAAACGCACCACATTTAGTTGTACGGACAAAGATGGAGTGGTTGAGCACTTTACACTTCACAGTCACGATGCAATCATGAACTACGCGGATTGTAAAAAAGTATGAAGGGATTCTGTGGGTAGAAGTGAGAAGCTGTCGGTAGACTAATTCCATGAGATAACCTGACGTTATAAAGTAATTTTCGCGAGTTTGTCCCGTTACATCCATGTGATTTATTTTATTACAGTCGTGAGATGTACTGGGCATCAACTGGAACGACAATGCAGAACCTCCAAATCAGTCACAGCGAGGTAGTAAGGACCGAGTGGCAACCATTCCGCACCAAACCAAGTCAAACCATTCATGAACCAAGGGCCAGCCTGACCTTCGCTCTGGAATTCGGTTGATAGTTTGGGTGTGGTCTCAAAGGATGAAAAAGCTACAGCCAAGATAATCAAAAGTATAGACCAACCTGAAAGCTCCACGTTACTGGTCTTGCTAACCGGTAGTGTCTGAAGCAAGTTCCGTGAGTGCGTCGTGGTTATCGTGGTCCCTGCGAGGCCCGTTAGTTCTTGGGACTTGGCTCCCACCGGATTGACCGCAGTCGATGGGTTGGAGGAGTGTCGAGGTGGCGGGGATTTTGGTCGGAGTCGTTCGACTTCCTCTGTGGTGCCCAGTAACGATCCATTTGGATCCTTTGTGAAATTAGCCGCATACAAACGGTGATCGAAGTTGGACGCCGAGAGTTCATTTCCGACAGTAAGCCATCCCTATCGAACAGAGGAAAATACCGTTCTGGGTAGGGGAAATGACACTAGCACGCCACCAAATTGTTCGACGGGTTAAGCCAAGTCAAAGATAACCAAGGCAAAATGAATCGTTGGAACCTACGTTCAGTTCGTGAATCCCGTTAATACAGTCCATCTTCTTTTTCCAAAGATCTAACATCACGTTGCACTTTTTGTTCGACGTTAATTTTGGCGGTATGTTCGAACTGACGTACAGATCTTGTTTGGATGCTGTGTGTAGCCAACAGTCAGCTGTATTCCAAACGAGCAGAAGTACAGCTGTATGGGTCTCAAAAATAAAGTTGGTTCACGCTAACGACACACCAGCACACACACGACACCTTAAGCCGTCTGGACTGTTTTCTATTAACTTTCGATCTCACTTGTGTTCCCACGGGGTAGATTGGCACGTCAGCAGTACTGACTGACGTTTGTTGAGAAGACAGTGAATTTCACTAAACACTGAAAGTGAATAATAATAAGATAGGAAAAGTCAAGCCTATTGGAGTGAGATCGGCTGTTGCACAATGCGTAAAGTAGGGCAATAAAGCACAGCAGGACAACAGAAGTTCTCATGCGGCTTCTAATCAGTTGAACAGTAAAAAATTAGTTGCAATTGGTTGAGGGACTTGTAGAAGTCACATTCATACACCGCTTTCGTTTGAACAGTTCTCCTGTTCTGATGCAAAAGAGCGTGGGGAGGAGTGGATTGGAGTTTCACCCCTATTAGGGCGTGTTTACTGAAGCAATGTATATCTTTGGCCGTGCCGGGGTCTGAACTCCGAATATCTGGAACGCCAAGTGAACGTATAAACACTACGCCGCCGGTGCACGCTGGACGCACCGGAATTGTCACGCCTGAAAAAACGAACGTGTTCACGCGCCATCTACACCTAACCGAAAAATTTTCCAGTAGGATACAAACGCCAGTGGCGCCATCTCGTTACATGGCCGAAGCTTGATAATTCCGGTGCCATCCATGTCAGATTTACGGAAATGAAGTCCCTCCAATATGGCAAGGCTCAATAAGAACAAAGATAGAGCCCAGTGCTTCGTAACCTCCACTTTGGTGTGGACTCATCAGAACAACTGCACTAGGATACAATTGTTCAAACAAGGATGACGAAAATGCGGATTGACCGATTGACCGATGTGTCATGCAGAGAAGGCGTTACGGCGTTGAGATGATTAAACAAACAGCCAGAAAAAAACGATCGTGTGGAGACTCACGCCGCAGCTTCCGAGAATTATTGTATACAACGGTCACATTTTTCCATAATTTGCTGAAGAATGCTAGCCGTTTTGGGGTGTCCCTGTCACTCTTCACACATACTGATAGTTGATTGGAATTTGTGGGAAACAGAGATTCCTTGCGTATGAACGTACCTGCACAGCAAGCGCGATAATTCACAATAGTCAGTGAAACCTTACCCAGGAACAGACGAACCGTTATGGCGCTTCATACATCCATAATGGACAAAACTGTGAAATACTGTATTATCAGGTCACTCAAAGGACCTACGCGGACTCCGTGTGAAAACCACTGGCCTTCACCGGCATCAGGTTGGTACCTGTGGCATCGAAGGTTTCCTCTGGTTTTATCCTTCGAAGGCTGGCTAAACGCAGAGACAGATCCGTGAAAGCTAAGCTACGTTTCATGCTGCAACAGCGTGCATCGATCACATTTTCACCCTCCAACGGATTCTCGAACAACGGCAATGCTTCCGCCAACCAAACATGATGGACTCTCTTGACTTGAAATCTGCCTTTGGCTCTGTAAACCGTCAGACACTATGGCAGTGACGACCATGCTGTCACTCCCTAAAAGAGATCACGGCTAGTGCATCTTTGTGCACTGGATGCTTGGATGTTTGAAAAGGAGACTGGGTCAATCCAACTGGTGGCATTTTGCGTTGGCTTGTTCCATTATTCCCTATAGTTTTCTCCAAAGCTTTAAAGCACCGTCTCCGCCCTCCTTTCTATTCATGCTCAACGAGGGTGCTCTTTCCTCAGTTGTGTAGCATTTAAGTGCCAGAATTCGCTACTGGTGTACGGCTACTGCTGGTGGCGCTATTCTTGAAGTTGATGATGACACTTCATCTTCTGCATCATGATTCAGGCCTTTGAAACTCACACGTTAAAGTCATCACACGCACTTCCATCAGAGAACGAAACTACCGATACATGAGAAATTGCCCACAACCTCTACTTCTTCCTGAAGTATATCGAGAGACTGCGTTTCGGTAGTTTAGATTGTCTGTGTATCTATCCACCCCCATTCTGCACTCCGTCGATAAACAGAAGTACGCCCACTAGAACCACTATCCTATATGTTTAAAAGAAGTTTATGAATCTGGAGTTCGACGAAACATTTGCACTGAATGTCACCATCGACTACGCTCCGCAAAAGGATGAGAAAAGCGACTCACGGGTAGCATCGTCCTGTGCAAAATGCAGCATATTGGATATCTCTACTCAAATAGCGTTACGCAACATATTGAGCGGATGCGCTTCGTTTCAATTCCCTGTACAGCGGTAAAGCATTGCCAAACCTGCCAAGTATTCGAACTATGCGTGTTCTCAGCAGTCCTAACAACAGAATACGGCTTCAGCAATGAAAAGCACACAAACAGTAACAGAATGACCGAAACACCAAGGCTCAGGAATTTTTTTAGTTGACTCACAGCACGCAGAGTACTGTCACGTCCAAAAAGATGCAAACGACGACGTCCCAGACAAAAGTGTTCGATAATGTGGAATATTTCAGTTGGTTTATCCTTCGCCGTGTAGCTACCATATTTCGGTGCATCTTCAATGATCAAATCAATATCAATGTTGGCATGGATGAAATCGCCGTCGGTAGAGCGCCGGACGGTGCCGTGGATTCCCATGAGGCAGTGCTCCTTTGTACGTTGAAATACAGCACCGGGTTCCAGAGCCTCGTGTCCTGGACGACCGTGGTTGGTTTTGATCCAGCAAATATCTTCACAACGCCGGAAGCCCCACTTTCGTAAGCACTGGAAGAAAGAGGGATAACTCTCTGATACGAGTGCTAGCATTTACTGAAAGTAGTATCTCAGGCGATCATTCTCGTTCATTTCATAAAAATCTTCTCTTTGTTCATAACGGTGCAGACGAGTGACCTTCGAATTCGCATAATGAGAGGAAAAGCAGTATGGAAAGATTGGGTAGTGACTGAGCGATATGCTGTACTCAGAATATTTATACAAGACGTGGTTGCCTAACGATGCATGTCGCTAATACGGCTTGCATTCAGAGACATACATGCCCCTTAATACTTTTGATGGACTTTGGGTCTCTTTCTTCCTCGTTGTTCTTTTACAACTAATAAGGTAGCATTAGGGTTGTACGCCAGTGGAATATAAGCATTCGTCCCCGGTGTTATAGGTAGCGAAACGCCATTGTAGCAACCTTTTTTCTTTATTTTCTCTCTTTTGATTTAAAACTTCTATGTATTCAACAGATCAATCACAGAACTGACTATCAATTCTGAATTAAGAAGCAGAGAACTCCACAAACACCACATTGCGTGCCAAATTTGCGAATTTGCAAGAGGCTAAAGGAGTACGAGCTATTTAGGCTGAAAACCGGATCGAGGTCTCTTACTATCGAACTGGGCACTCACTAGGTTGATATGAACTACCTGAATAATCCTGACACCGTTTTTCGAATACTGCATCAAGCACCTACTTACCTACCAATATCGATATCTGGTCGCAGTTGAGGCAATCGCATTCGTTAAGACAACCAAAGCCTGTAAACTCAGAATAAGTATGTACGCGCATTGAGTTTACTATGGTCTGCTCAAGTGACCACCGGCCCCTCCGGCCAAGTGATCGCGACATAAACTTTTACCTGCAGATTCCGACTTATACTTGTCTCACTTGTATGGATCACTCGCTTTCAGTTTTGTAATCGCTCGATCCATAGTGACCAGAAAAGATCGCGAAAACATTAAGGTTCGTCATCCAGTGCTCTTTCGGAGCAATAGATAGTTTTTCATGCGCCTTAACGTGAACTCGCTAGGACTTATATACTCGAGTAATTCTGTCTCATAAATACTGACGTGAATTCAGCTAAATATTCAAATAATATATCGTATTGTGTAAGGTTTTTCGACCAACCGCAGTGGAAATTGTTACTCAAGACGGCGGTGCACAGGCGAAAAGTTTCGTGAGCGTAACTCATCTCTTCTGGCTGATGAGTGGTTGTTGTACTATGGGCTATCTCAAACAGATGCCGCCCAATATCTCCACGCATTTCAGTTTGCCATGTGTACCAACGAACTACAACCGTGAATAGAGTGCATCCGGAACATGTCCGAGGTTTAAACGGGCAATTTTTCAACTAAATTCAAAGTTTTTTTCATGAATTGTAGGTACTTTTGGAGCGCAACTTCAAAAACTTTAGGCATCACGAAAAGATAAGGTCATTAGGAATGCACAGAAAAAAGCGACCAAACATACAGTGTTTGTACTAACCTACCCTTCGAGCAGCATCCAATCCTTCACCTGATCCACACCATATCCACACAAATGCGCGCGGAGCTATAATTTGTTCAATTTCCAACCGTTCAATCTGAATTTAAACATAAAAAAGAAGTGACTGTTTGAGAAGAACAATAGGAAAAGAAAATGGTATTTTCAGCAGATACTCAGACGGGTAGTAGCGCGGGTAGACCACTGTGCTTATCAATTTTACCAACTGGCAACTCTCGATGTACCCCTTTGTTGAGGTCATTCGACATTTGGTGAAACTGAAAAACTTTCTCCAAAACATACCGTCGAATTTTCAATATTGTGTCAACAGTTTGGCTCAGTGCAGACCGTTTTGAGCACTATCTCGGAGAAAATCGAGCCGATGCTAGGGCCAGGTCAGCAAAGTTGAAGGTTTAAACGATGCTCCGGGGAGCCTACAGGCGGATCTAGACGATTTCCGAGCGACGTACACCGCACAGTCTAAGCCACGCAAGACTGAAAAAACTTCCCACGTAAGACAGACCATTATTTCAGCTTATTTCTACTAGATGAAATAGCAAAAAAGCAACGCCAATTTTCTTTTGTTTTCCTCAAAAACGCTCCATCAATATTCTCCATCTTTGAGACCTTGATGACCAATCTTACCTAGAATTTGAGGTTCACTTTCAAGTAAGGGTTCTTATATGAGCACTCAAAAGTGTGGTCGAAAAACAGCACCTTATTAGTAGTACGCCAGTTGCCGGTAAAATTACCTAGAATTAAGAAGGGATTAGTAACTACAATCATACTTTTCAGATGCAATCTAAGTAGTACTATACTTTCTTTGATTCGAAATATTTCGACTGAAAAGAACTACTTTAGCGTGAATGGGGTTGCATAGTATCCAGTGCTCCTAACGTTAACCGGTCGATTCCAATATGCCCGTCTGGCCAAGACAGTTGGGGTGTATGGCTCGACCCGGACCAATTCCATATTGCTCTCGCTCAACCGATCGACGTAGCAATGCGGCCACAGGCGCGCCGTTACATTGGATATTAATCGGATTGGCTGATTATCCATAGCTGAATCGAGCAGCTTATTCGCTCCATTATATCTGTTGCTGTGGTTTGACCGCAACACTGGAGTGTACCGGTGGCATGGTTGGACGAGTGGGCATCGGGAAAGAAATGTGAATGCAACTCAACTCGGTGCTACGTTAGTATCACTACGAGAACAAGTGGATCTTAGGCTACGGGACCAGTGAGAAAAGGTCGATATCGGCTAACGGATGAAGAGTAGGTATACTCGGAAAAGCCAGTTAAACAGTCGCAAGGGCCCAAAACGGGACTTCGTGTGAAAAGACAAAAACGTTCTAACGTCTCTGGATAAAGTGCGTCAGAGTCAAGGTACACGTCTATGAAGTAACAAATAATAATTGTTCTGCATTTTGCAATTCCCTTGTACACCCAAGAACTTCCGCTCTATGCTTGTAAATTTGAACGCGATTTCATTTGACAAATGTAACCATTCCGACACACGTGGGGGTGAACAACTCACCTATTTCGATCAGTTTTTATGAGGGCGTTTCGAAAAATCAATGCTACATGGCTCAACACCAAATGTGAGTTACACCTGTCAATGTTTATTTCACACTCAGAAAGAAAACAACCCAACGGATTGTGGCACGATACTGCAATCCATTCCGCAAGGGGTTCATATTTTCTGACAGCAGATGACAATTAAAGTCCTCCTAAAGTCCACCTTCGCCAGCTTTACTGTTATGCGAGAATCAATCAATCAAAAAAACTTGGAGTGTGGAGTTATATCGTTCGAGGTACTATTGAGCGGCTAACGAAAGAAGTGAAAGGGAGTAGAAGAAACCAACATCGTTCAGATGTTTTGTCGAGTCAGAGCGCTGTGCACAGAAGAGATCGACCGAACGGCAGCTCAAATCGGGATTGCCAACAGACTTCAAGAAATAGGACATCCAATGGGTTTGATTAAGCGTCAGCTAAGAAAGATATTGCCTCCAGTATCTAGACCCAGTAAGGAATGGATTGGCACAGCAGTCATTCCATATAAAGCAGGAACATCTGAGGTTTTTCGAAGACTGTTGAACTTAGTCCACATTCGAGTAGCTTTTCAAAAGGGAAAACGCTACGCTGTCTTGGTGCAATTGAAGGATCCCTTGCCGGTTGAAAGGACTAGGGACTGCGTGTCTAAAATTAGCTGCAACAATTGCAGGTTTACATACGACAAACTGCCAGGGAATTGCACACCAGAATTGGTGAGCATGAAAGAAGGACAAACAAACCACCAGAGAATGCAGAAGAATACCACACGCTGGTCAAAGACTCAGCGGTGGCGGTACATGCCTTAAACACGGGACATAGAATAGATCGGGAGAATGTGGAAGTTTTAAGACGGGGACTGCGATTCACACCACAGCGGCTGATAGCCGAGGCGGTGGAAATTACTAAGCATCAGTGTGAATAGAATCGAGGCGAGGGTATGGGCGAGCGTATGGAAAGCGGTCTCAGATAAGTCGAGTTGACAAGTGACTGTGTGGTCGTCAATCCACGTAGAATCATTACCAGAAACGGGGGTGGGGGTGGAAATCCCGACCCGACCAAAGGTCACAGCATCTCTACTACACAACTATCTTAGCACTAGCTCATCCACACAAACGGACAGAAGGTTTAAACGACGTTCAAGAGAGACCATCAAATGGACCGAACCAGAAGAACTAGACCCTAGGCTGAACCCAAACATAGCACTAGCTCTCCACACAAACGGACAGAAGGTTTAAACGACGTTCAAGAGAGACCATCAAATGGACCGAACCAGAAGAACTAGACCCTAGGGTGAACCCAAACATATGTAGGTTTCCCCATCGATCCAACACTTGTTCAACCACTCCAACACACAAAAGTCCCTCGGCCGACACCCAACAGAGATTTAGCTTGACTTAGCTGATTGGTTCTCCTTCCGCCTTAAATCTCGACTAACCTCGGAACTTAGTCACTTGGCCTGACGAGGCTTTTGTGTCAAAAGCGAAAGTTTGCCCAGCAATAACTCAACCCATTGTCACCAAATGTTTCCGAAAATGAAGTATAGATTGATTGACTACCAATAAGATTATCACCAAAATCTATGGTGTTGGATTTTGTGACGTTATTCGACTACAAAATCGCCTTGTAAACTACCAAATTGTGACACAGAAGACCTACAAGTCAAACTGATAGCCCAAAGAGACTATTACGTCCAGCCACCACAAAACGTCCCAAAGTATCATAGACCTTCCGACTGTACGATACGTTGGAATCAGATGAAAGTTTACACAGTTGTGTTCATACACCAGGGGGATGGGTTTTCGACCAATCAAACGAACAGCAGTGGACTGAGGTATACCTGTCACCGATAAATGACCACGTAATGAGGCACTCTAATGAACTCAATAATCAAACTGATGTGAAGTCAATATGCTTTTCCCCCCAGAATAATGAAGAGTTCAAACTGTATGATGTAAACATTTGGCGTTGGTAAAACTGCCCTTCAAAACGGGCCATCTCAAGTGACATAACTGCAAAGTCATTACTTCTGAAGCTGGCGGCTCAAGCAAGAGCAACTACGATGACTACAGCACAATACTGGTGGTATCAAGTAACACATGAACTACAATCCGTACCTAAAATACTATTAATAAGACTGCTAACAATTTATCTGGTGGAACAAAACCTTGTTTTCTCTATTTAAGCCTTTCATTGATATCCTACTTGACTGTTAACTCTTTTGCATTCTGGTTCACTCGAATCCATATCACGGGACGGTCTAGTTGTTTCTAGTACAACTTCCTCAAATTCATTTGTCTTTCCGATTCTGCTACATCTGATAAGTCAGTAGTGACCATAAAAACTGGCGACGGGAACCCAAACATGTCAATTTAAGCTGAGAATTTGAAATTAATCCTTCAAAGTGAAAAAAGGGGAGTTCGAACAATAGCAATCGCGACTTATTCAATCTCTTACTCAAGCTATCAGTTTGCAGTCATCAGCTCCATCTCAAAGTGGTAGTTTCTTGTCCTCTGCAGATTCGAGACCGTTTCCGAATTTCTCTACAAATGGGCATCTGGTTTCAAATTCGATTTGTGGTACAACCTTTCGGAACATAATTCGCAGAATAGGTTTAGTGACAAGGATGATACGTGGAAATCCCGACTCTTGAAAATCAGAGCCCTAGAGCACGATAGGTTGACGGACTTCATTCCGATCAAACATCCAAAGGATTTAAACTTTATACAAGCAGTGGAACAAACCCGTGACATTTTCGGTGAGCAGCATCAACTTTTTGGTGTATGATACAAATATCTCAAATTAGCCAAGCGATGCCGGCGATTACATTAATCTTGCAAACTCTTGGCCTGATAGAGGTTTATGAAGGAGATTACGAAAAGTCTGGGTGCTTTCGGTGTAACTAGCCTTCCAGGATGGTACCACGTGATCCCCACTGCGCCGGGTTGGAGACGCTGCAAGATATGACTGCTACTCGCTGCCGGTTTCTATCCAGATTTCCTGAATGAGTATCTCAACCCATTGTCACCAAATGTTTCCGAAAATGAAGTATAGATTGATTGACTACCAATAAGATTATCACCAAAATCTATGGTGTTGGATTTTGTGACGTTATTCGACTACAAAATCGCCTTGTAAACTACCAAATTGTGACACAGAAGACCTACAAGTCAAACTGATAGCCCAAAGAGACTATTACGTCCAGCCACCACAAAACGTCCCAAAGTATCATAGACCTTCCGACTGTACGATACGTTGGAATCAGATGAAAGTTTACACAGTTGTGTTCATACACCAGGGGGATGGGTTTTCGACCAATCAAACGAACAGCAGTGGACTGAGGTATACCTGTCACCGATAAATGACCACGTAATGAGGCACTCTAATGAACTCAATAATCAAACTGATGTGAAGTCAATATGCTTTTCCCCCCAGAATAATGAAGAGTTCAAACTGTATGATGTAAACATTTGGCGTTGGTAAAACTGCCCTTCAAAACGGGCCATCTCAAGTGACATAACTGCAAAGTCATTACTTCTGAAGCTGGCGG